ACCCAACTGGGGTTGGTTGACCTCAAAGACTCATCGTTGGGAGACATGTTTCTACCCAGAGCCAATCAGTCTTGGTGGCTAATTAATGATCTGATTAGGGGATGAGGGATACTCGCTGTGGCCACCAGCTCCAACCTTCTCCCAGTCTCCCCAGCCACCCTCCCAACACCCAACTGGGGTTGGTTGGCCTCAAAGACTCATCGTTGGGAGACATGTTTCTACCCAGAGCCAGTCTTGGTGGCTAATTAGTGATCTAATTAGGGGATGAGGGATCCTGGCTGTGGCCACCAGCTCCAACCTTCTCCCAGTCTCCCCAGCCACTCGCCCAACACCCAACTGGGGTTGGTTGACCTCAAAGACTCATCGTTGGGAGACATGTTTCTACCCAGAGCCAGTCTTGGTGGCTAATTAGTGATCTAATTAGGGGATGAGGGATCCTGGCTGTGGCCACCAGCTCCAGCCTCTTCCCAACCTCCCCAGCCACTCGCCCAACACCCAACTGGGGTTGGTTGACCTCAAAGACTCATCGTTGGGAGACACGTTTCTACCCGGAGCCAATCAGTCTTGGTGGCTAATTAATGATGTAATTAGGGGATGAGGGATCCTGGCTGTGGCCACCAGCTCCAGCCTCTTCCCAACCTCCCCAGCCACTCGCCCAACACCCAACTGGGGTTGGTTGACCTCAAAGACTCATCGTTGGGAGACATGTTTCTACCCAAAGCCAATCAGTCTTGATGGCTAATTAATGGGCTAATTAGTGATCTAATTAGGGGATGAAGGATCCTGGCTGTGGCCACCAGCTCCAGCCTCTTCCCAACCTCCCCAACCGCTCGGCCAACACCCAACTGGGGTTGGTTGACCTCAAAGACTCATCGTTGGGGGCCTTGTTCCTGGCTGTTGATCCTTCATGGCTAATTAATTATCTAATTAGTTGCAAGATCCCCTAATTAGGGGATGAGGGATCCTGGCTGTGGCCACCAAATCGATCCTTCTCCCAGCCTCCCCAGCCACTCGCCCAACACCCAACTGGGGTTGGTGGACCTCAAATACTCATCGTTGGGGGCCTTGTTCCTGGCTGTTGATCCTTCATGGCTAATTAATTATCTAATTAGTTGCAAGATCCCCTAATTAGGGGATGAGGGATCCTGGCTGTGGCCACCAGCTCCATCCTTCTCCCAGTCTCCCCAGCCACTTGCCCAACACCCAACTGGGATTGACCTCAAAGACCCATCGTTGGGAGACATGATTCTACCCAGAGCCAATCAGTCTTGATGGCTAATTAATGGGCTAATTAGTGATCTAATTAGGGGATGAGGGATCCTGGCTGTGGCCACCAAATCCATCCTTCTCCCAGCCTCCCCAGCCACTCGCCCAACACCCAACTGGGGTTGGTTGACCTCAAAGACTGATCGTTGGGGGGCTTGTTGCTGCCCATTGATCCTTCATGGCTAATTAATGATCTAATTAGGTGCAGGATCCCCTAATTAGGGGATGAGGAACCCTGGCTGTGGCCACCAGAAGAGGGATACTTCTTCCAATGTCCCCAACCGCTCTCCAAACACCCAACTGGGGTTGGCCTGAAAGACCCATGATTGGGGGGGGTGTTCCTGCCTGGAGCTGTTGGTCCTTCATGGCTAATTAGTTGGGTAATTAGTGATCTAATTAGGGGATGAGGAACCCTGGCTGTGGCCACCAGAAGAGGGATACTTCTTCCAATGTCCCCAACCGCTCGCCAAACACCCAACTGGGGTTGGCCTCAAAGACCCATGATTGGGGGGGGTGTTCCTGCCTGGAGCTGTTGGTCCTTCATGGCTAATTAGTTGGGTAATTAGTGATCTAATTAGGGGATGAGGGATCCTGGCTGTGGCCACCAGCTCCATCCTTCTCCCGGCCTCCCCAGCCACTCACCCAACACCCAACTGGGGTGTGTTGACCTCAAAGACTCATCGTTGGGGGGCTTGTTCCTGGCTGTTGATCCTTCATGGCTAATTAATTATCTAATTAGTTGCAAGATCCCCTAATTAGGGGATGAGGGATCCTTGCTGTGGCCACCAGCTCCAACCTTCTCCCGGTCTCCCCAGCCACTCGCCCAACACCCAACTGGGGTTGGTTGACCTCAAAGACCCATCGTTGGGAGACATGTTTCTACCCGGAGCCATTCAGCCTTGATGGCTCATTAATGGGCTAATTAGTGATCTAATTAGGTGATGAGGGATCCTGGCTGTGGCCACCAGCTCCATCCTTCTCCCAGTCTCCCCAGCCACTTGCCCAACACCCAACTGGGATTGACCTCAAAGACCCATCGTTGGGAGACATGATTCTACCCAGAGCCAATCAGTCTTGATGGCTAATTAATGGGCTAATTAGTGATCTAATTAGGGGATGAGGGATCCTGGCTGTGGCCACCAAATCCATCCTTCTCCCAGCCTCCCCAGCCACTCGCCCAACACCCAACTGGGGTTGGTTGACCTCAAAGACTGATCGTTGGGGGGCTTGTTGCTGCCCATTGATCCTTCATGGCTAATTAATGATCTAATTAGGTGCAGGATCCCCTAATTAGGGGATGAGGAACCCTGGCTGTGGCCACCAGAAGAGGGATACTTCTTCCAATGTCCCCAACCGCTCGCCAAACACCCAACTGGGGTTGGCCTCAAAGACCCATGATTGGGGGGGGTGTTCCTGCCTGGAGCTGTTGGTCCTTCATGGCTAATTAGTTGGGTAATTAGTGATCTAATTAGGGGATGAGGGATCCTTGCTGTGGCCACCAGCTCCATCCTTCTCCCAGCCTCCCCAGCCACTCGCCCAACACCCAACTGGGGTTGGTTGACCTCAAAGACTGATCGTTGGGGGGCTTGTTGCTGCCCATTGATCCTTCATGGCTAATTAATGATCTAATTAGGTGCAGGATCCCCTAATTAGGGGATGAGGAACCCTGGCTGTGGCTGCCATAATAGGGATACTTCTTCCAATGTCCCCAACCGCTCTCCAAACACCCAACTGGGGTTGGCCTGAAAGACCCATTGTTGGGAGACCTATTTCTACCTGGAGCCATTCAGCCTTGATGGCTAATTAATGGGCTAATTAGTGGGGATCTAATGATCTAATTAGGGGATGAGGGACCCTGGCTGTGGCCACCAGCTTCATCCTTCTTCCAGCCTCCCCAACCCCTCACCCAACACCCAACCCACGTTGGTTGACCTCAAAGACCCATCACTGAGGGACTTGTTCCTGCCTGGAGCTGTTGATCCTTCATGACTAATTAGTGGGCTAATTAATGATCTAATTAGGGGATGAGGGATCCTGGCTGTGGCCACCAGCTCCATCCTTCTCCCAGTCTCCCCAGTGGCTCGCCCAACGCCCAACACCCAACTGGGGTTGACCTCAACGATCCATCATTCAGGAGCTCGTTCCTGCCCAAAGCAATTAAGCCTTGTTGCCTAATTAATGGCCTCGCTAATTAGGGGATGGGGAATTCCCCCTCATGCCATGGCTCCATCCTCCCCCCAGTCTCCCCAGTCACGTGGCCAACACCAAACTGGGCTTGACCCTCAAAGACCCATAACTGGGGGGCTCCTTCCTGCCCTCCCCCCCAGCCTTGGCAGCTAATTAATGACCTAATTAGGGGACAGGGCACCCCACCCCCTTTTTTTACATTTTTAACCCAATTCCTCCCTAATTAGGATGATTTTTAACTATGTTTTCCCCCCTCCCGCTGTTCTAAATCGACCAAAAATTTACCAAATTTATCCCTAGGCGGGAACTGAGAAAAAAATGAGGCAGAAAAGGGTTTTTTTTTCCCAATTTTCTGCTAATTTCGCTCTTTTTGCGGGCAAATTTTGGGGGGGGGGGCAGGGGGGCAATTCCCATCTGGGATCTTTGGGGTGATATTTCCTCTTTTTGTAGGTTTTTTTTTTTTACTGCTGTCACACAACTTGGTTGTGGGTCACCCCCTCCCCCCCCCCCCAGTGCCCTTTTTTGGGGGAAAACCCCTAGATTTTGGCAACAAAAATATCCAGATTTGGGAAATAAAAGTCATTTGGAGAAAAAAAATCCAGATTTGGGAAAAAAAACCACGTTTTGAACAAAAGACTTTATTAAACTGGGTTCGCCCCATCCCTCCTATTCCCTCCCCCCCCTCCCCAAAGAAATGGAGCAAAATCGAGCTGTTTTCAGCTTTTTTTTTTTAAGAAAAAATACTTTTGTTGTCGTTTTTTGTTACTTTCGTGACTTTGTATTTCAGCGTCGCCTCCGAGAGGGTTCAATAAACAAGATAAAAAAGTGAGGTTTTTTCTACCCAAAACGGGGTGGGGTTTAATTTCCAGCATCACAGACACCCCCAAAAATGTGGGTGCCCCCCCCCAAGCCAGGAAATTGGGGGAAAAAACCTGTGGGTGAGGGGCACCCATGGGTGCGAGGGGGTACCCCCGGGGGGTGAGGTAGGGGGTACCCACGGGTGCCAAATGCCTTCTAAAGTGCACGGCCCGGGGGGCACCCATGGGTGCTGAGCCCCACAGCGTCCCCAGGGCCAGGGTGATGGGCCCCACAGCGTCCATGGGGCTGAGGTCAGGAGCACCCATGGGTGCTGGGTGCCATCCCAGGCCTCAGGTGAGGGTGATGGGCCCCACAGCATCCATGGGGTCGAGCTCAGGAGCACCCATGGGTGCTGTGACAGCCTTAAGGGCAAGGTGATGGGCCCCACAGCGTCCATGGGGCTGAGGTCAGGGGCACCCATGGGTGCAGAGCCCCATAGCGTCCCCAGGGCCAGGGGGATGGGCCCCACAGCGTCCATGGGGCTGAGTGTGGGTGTAGGCAACGGGGGGGGGGTGGGGGAATTTTTTTGGGGGGGTTTCAAGCCCCACAATGAAGATCCAGCAACAACGTCTCTTAAATATTATTAAATATTAACTTATTTATTATTAAATACCCCCCCAAATCACATGAAATAACCCAAAAATAAATAAATAAATAATAAATATCGGCAAAATTAAATAGAAATAGAATAAATAAATACCAGGAACGGGGGAGGAGGTGAGCAGCCCCCTGAGGTTGGGTGAGGGGCACCCATGGGTGCGAGGGGGTACCCCCGGGGGGTGAGGTAGGGGGTACCCACGGGTGCCAAATGCCTTCTAAAGTGCACGGCCCGGGGGGCACCCATGGGTGCTGAGCCCCACAGCGTCCCCAGGGCCAGGGTGATGGGCCCCACAGCGTCCATGGGGCTGAGGTCAGGAGCACCCATGGGTGCTGGGTGCCATCCCAGGCCTCAGGTGAGGGTGATGGGCCCCACAGCATCCATGGGGTCGAGCTCAGGAGCACCCATGGGTGCTGTGACAGCCTTAAGGGCAAGGTGATGGGCCCCACAGCGTCCATGGGGCTGAGGTCAGGGGCACCCATGGGTGCAGAGCCCCATAGCGTCCCCAGGGCCAGGGTGATGGGCCCCACAGCGTCCATGGGGCTGAGGTCAGGAGCACCCATGGGTGCTGAGCCCCACAGCGTCCCCAGGGCCAGGGTGATGGGCCCCACAGCGTCCATGGGGCTGAGGTCAGGAGCACCCATGGGTGCTGGGCACCATCCCAGCCCTCAGGTGAGGGTGATGGGCCCCATAGTGTCCATGGGGCCGAGGTGAGGGGCACCCATGGGTGCTGTGACAGCCTTGAGACCAGGGTGATGGGCCCCATAGCATCCATGGGGCTGAGGTGAGGGGCACCCATGGGTGCTGGGTGCCATCCCAGCCCTAAGGCGAAGGTGATGGGCCCAACAACGTCCATGAGGCTGAGGTCAGGAGCACCCATGGGTGCTAGGTGTGTGTCACAGCCTTGAGACCAGGGTGATGGGCCCTACAGTGTCCATGGGGTCGAGGTCAGGAGCACCCATGGGTGCTGGGCACCATCCCAGGCCTCAGGTGAGGGTGATGGGCCCCATAGTGTCCATGAGGCTGAAGTCAGGGGCACCCATGGGTGCTGGGTGTGTGTCACAGCCTTGAGACCAGGGTGATGGGCCCCAGAGCATCCATGGGGTCGAGGTCAGGAGCACCCATGGGTGCTGGGCACCATCCCAGCCCTCAGACGAAGGTGATGGGCCCAACAACGTCCATGAGGCTGAGGTCAGGAGCACCCATGGGTGCTGGGCACCATCCCAGGCCTCAGGTGAGGGTGATGGGCCCCATAGTGTCCATGAGGCTGAAGTCAGGGGCACCCATGGGTGCTGGGTGTGTGTCACAGCCTTGAGACCAGGGTGATGGGCCCCAGAGCATCCATGGGGTCGAGGTCAGGAGCACCCATGGGTGCTGGGCACCATCCCAGCCCTCAGATGAGGGTGATGGGCCCAACAACGTCCATGAGGCTGAGGTCAGGAGCACCCATGGGTGCTGGATGCTGTGACAGCCCTAAGGCGAGGGTGATGGGCCCCATAGCATCCATGGGGCTGAGGTCAGGGGCACCCATGGGTGCTGTCACAGCCCTAAGGCCAGGGTGATGGACCCCATAGCAGCCCAGGGGGCACCCATGGGTGGGTGATGCCACCCCGTGGCCACCACCAGAGGCACAGATACCAGTCCAGCAGGTTGGGCGCAGCCCCGAGGCCGCGGCGATGGGCACAGCAGGGTGCCAGGTGCCACCCCGAGTGTCCCAGGTGTCACCCCGAGGTGGGGGGTGACAAGTCTCTTGGGTTGTCACCCTGAGGAGGAGCAGGGTGAGGGTCCCGGGTGCCCCTCAGCGGGCAGCGCCTCCTGTTGTGTGGTTGTGGGGTTGCAGGGCGGGTGACAGCAGCAGACGGGGGCAGGAGGCACCCAAGGGTGTCCCCACGGGTGTCCCCACCAGCGTCCCGTTGGGTGGCCAGGGTGTCCCACCAGTCCGAAGCAGCGCTCCCTCCCCGGGAGGGGGTGTCACAGTGGGTGTCAGGGGGGGTTGGGGTGTCACGGTGGGTGCCTGGGGTGTCCCCACAGCGGTGGGGGTCACCTCGGGTGTCAGGGGCACCTCGGGTGTCACGTCCCCCGGCGCGCTGTAGATCTGGGCGCTCACCACGGCCAGGAGCAGCACCAGGAGCCGCTTCGCCGCGCTCGGCTCTTCCGTGGGGGGCGGCCGCCGCACCTGGGGGGGCAAAAAAGTGGGGTGAGAACTCACCTGCCTGGGGCAAATACCCCCCCCGGGGCAAATACCCCCCTGGGGCAAATAACACCCCCCCCGGGGCAACTATCCCCCTCCCCGGGGGGCAAGTAACTCCCTCTGACCAATCTTAGGGAACCCATCCAAGGTCGACCCCCTCCGACCCTGCTTAGCTTCCACGAGGGTAATTGGGGTAATTACCCCCCCGGGGCAAATAACACCCCCCCCACCGGGGGGGCAACTATCCCCCTCCTCAGGGCAACTAACTCTCCCCGGTCAGGCTTAGGGAACCCATCCAACGTCAACCCCTCCCGACCCTGCTTAGCTTCAGGAAGGGTACCTGAGGTAATTACCCCCCCCGGGGCAAATACACCCCCCCAGGGGCAAATAACCGCAGGATGAGGCTTAGGGAACCCATCCAACATCAACCCTACTGGACCCTGCTTAGCTTCCGGAAGGGTAACTGAGGTAATTACCCCCCCCGGGGCAAATAACTCCCCCCCCGGGGCAAATAACCCCACGATGAGGGTTAGGGAACCCATCCAACGGCAACCCCTCCCGACCCTGCTTAGCTTCCACAAGGGTAATTGGGGTAATTACCCCCCCTGGGGCAAATAACACCCCCCCCGGGGCAAGTATCCCCCTCCCCGGGGCAAATAACTCCCTCTGACCAATCTTAGGGAACCCATCCAAGGGCAACCCCTCTCGACCCTGCTTAGCTTCCAGAAAGGTATCTGGGATAACTGCCCCCCCCCGGGGCAAATAACTCCCTCTGACCAATCTTAGGGAACCCATCCAAGGTCGACCCCCTCCGACCCTGCTTAGCTTCCACAAGGGTAATTGGGGTAATTACCCCCCCGGGGCAAATAACACCCCCCCCACCGGGGGGCAACTATCCCCCTCCTCAGGGCAACTAAGGGGCAAATAACACCCCCCCCACCGGGGGGGCAACTATCCCCCTCCTCAGGGCAACTAACTCTCCCCGGTCAGGCTTAGGGAACCCATCCAACGTCAACCCCTCCCGACCCTGCTTAGCTTCCACAAGGGTAATTGGGGTAATTACCCCCCCGGGGCAAATAACACCCCCCCCACCGGGGGGGCAACTATCCCCCTCCTCAGGGCAACTAACTCTCCCCGGTCAGGCTTAGGGAACCCATCCAACGTCAACCCCTCCCGACCCTGCTTAGCTTCAGGAAGGGTACCTGAGGTAATTACCCCCCCCGGGGCAAATACACCCCCCCAGGGGCAAATAACCGCAGGATGAGGCTTAGGGAACCCATCCAACATCAACCCTACTGGACCCTGCTTAGCTTCCGGAAGGGTAACTGAGGTAATTACCCCCCCCGGGGCAAATAACTCCCCCCCCGGGGCAAATAACCCCACGATGAGGGTTAGGGAACCCATCCAACGGCAACCCCTCCCGACCCTGCTTAGCTTCCACAAGGGTAATTGGGGTAATTACCCCCCCTAGGGCAAATAACACCCCCCCCGGGGCGACTATCCCCCTCCCCGGGGCAAATAACTCCCTCTGACCAATCTTAGGGAACCCATCCAAGGGCAACCCCTCTCGACCCTGCTTAGCTTCCAGAAAGGTATCTGGGATAACTGCCCCCCCCCGGGGAAATAACTCCCTCTGACCAATCTTAGGGAACCCATCCAAGGTCGACCCCCTCCGACCCTGCTTAGCTTCCACAAGGGTAATTGGGGTAATTACCCCCCCGGGGCAAATAACACCCCCCCCACCGGGGGGCAACTATCCCCCTCCTCAGGGCAACTAACTCTCCCCGATCGGGCTTAGGGAACCCATCCAAGGTCAACCCCTCTCGACCCTGCTTAGCTTCCAGAAAGGTATCTGGGGATAATTGCCTCCCCTCCCCCCGGGGCAAATAACTCCCCTCCTGGGGCAAATTATTCCCCCCCTGGGGCAAATTACTTCTCATACCCCCCCCCAGGGCAAATAACCCCCCCGATCAGGCTTAGAGAACCCATCCAAGGGCAACCCCCCCTCAACCCTTCCAGAAGCTAAGCAGGGTAACTGGGATAATTGCCCCCCTCCCTGGGCAAATACACCCTCCTGGGGCAAATGACCCTCCCCCCCCGGGGCAAATATCTCCCCTCCCTGGGCAAATTACTCACCCCCCTGGACCAAATAACTTCTCCTAACCCCCAGGGCAAATAACCC